GGGGGTCAGGCTAGATGATCTGTTCAGGTCCCTCCTGACCCTAGCTACTATGAAACTATGAAGTGGTATGCATTGTTTCGATTAATGCCAGCTTATAGAGATTGTTGTTGTTCCAGAGAGGATACCATCAATTCTGGTCTAGGTCATCTAGTCACATTCCAAAATCAATATATAGTACATAAATGATTCTTAAATGTAAAAAGATTTAGCAAAGATAGAACGTGCTGGAAAGTTCTTTGATATGACAATTGTTCTATAAAAGAGGAAAGCTGATCTCCAAAATAGTAATGACAAAGGGACTAAAAGATTCCCATTGTTGCTAAATGTTTTTGAGAAGGAAGATGTGTATAAAGGGCCAGGACGGCAAAAAATGACTTGCCTTTTATCCACAAAGCCTTTATGCGTATGAAAATTCCTTACTTGTACACTACCATTAACAAAGCACTGATTTCTATAGCAGACAATAAAACTGTGTTATATACATACTTCTGAAAATTGACAGGTTACTAGACCTAATTGTTATGCTGTCAGCTACATTAGCATCAATCTCTATTATGATTCCCACTTAATTTTCAGGATTCTGATTTCCATATACTGGAAAGCCCACATGCAGTGAAGTTTGCAAAACTTCTAGATGTCAATACAAGGATTATAAGTGACACTGTGTAGTCCTCAGTAATGCTGTTCTTCCCAACTCGTGGCTAAATGTTACAGTCAACCTTGCAGTTAGTGTCTATATTCAATCATAGATTCCTGCTCCCCAACATCTACGAGCACATCTAAGGGCACATGAGGTTTGTCATAGCCAGAAAACGTGATTTGGTTCATTGAGTTTTGAACTTCAGTGGTGGGAGGCTTGGAGTTTGAAGAGAGCTCCTCATGCAGTTCCATTTGGCTACTATTAGAAGTAAAATAATTATCTTTTACATCAGAACTCTGTTCAGTATTCGGAGATAACTGCGAAGTGCTTTCTTGAATGCTCCCCTCTTCTGTTGTGCTTGATGTTTCCTGGGAATTGACAGAGCATGCTTCTTCACAGCTATCCTTGGGGCTAGAAGTCCCAGTTTCTTGTTCTATCGCAGTTACCTTATCACATACTGGCGTCTTGGCTGATGATGAGGTTATGACAGAGATATACTTTGTATCTTGTTTAATTTCTAAGGTGTGGCGCGAGTTCAGGTTTCTTACTACAGCAACCTAAAAAAGTAAAGACAAACGTTTTTATTTGTATATAAATTAGCAGTTTACTACTTTCAGTCTCTAACAGTCAAAAAGAGTCAGGAGCAAATACAAAAAATATAAAGCGATAATATAATTTTAAAATTCCAGGACACCAGAATTCAAGTTAGAGTTTGCAAACAGAGTCCAGTAGAGGTTATGTCACTTATGGCCATGACACTGACTGGCCTATAAGCCTTTTACGTAAGATAACAAAAAAGTATCAAATCCAGAACTACATATCAAGAACCTCAAAAAAGTTTTCTTCCCTCATTACAAGTTGTTATTAGGGCTTTCCAGGGGGGAGAGGAGAAGTAGTGTAACTTGCCGAAAAAGATACAAGGTGCCGTGGGATCAATTTATGTGCTTGGATTTATAATTATTGAAGATATAAAAGTAACAATTTTAAGCTACCAAGAGCTCAGCCTTTCAAGCATCCATCTCTCCAGATACTTTAAACTTCATGTAACAGTGAGCAAAAGATGATTTAGGGTCCCTTTTCTGCACAGGTATATAAACAAAAGGTAACCTGAAAGTTAACGGACAAGTAGCTACTGCTTAGAAGTTACAGAGAAGAGAAAAAGAGGTGTTAGAGGTTAGGATACAAAATACTGGACTTCTAATATTAAACCTATTTGACCCTGCCATTTCGTGCAGATAAAATCCAACTCAAACGTATCCTTAAAATTTGTTGCGAGGGGAAAGAATTCACATTGTAAATATAATATGAAACCACAAGAATTGAAATTTAAATGAAATTGTGTAAAGCTATTAACAAAAAGGAGATAAAATTCTATTGTTGCTAAAACATTTGCACCTATAACAGTTTTTACTACTCAATACCAGTTCAAAGGTAAATGAAGAAAAGATACATTTACAGGTTTTCCCTTATTGGGATTCTAAAGGCGCATGTAGATGAAATGGAGGCCCTAAATTGAAGAGGTAGGTTTTAAAAAACACCGCTTTGATTTAGGGGTCATTTAACCTTACAATAACTATATTTTTCCTGTGTTGTGCACGCATGCAGACATACACATATTCCACTGTCACACACCCCACTGACTTACCTGCCTCTCCAGCAGGGAGGGGAGGGTGAGCTGCTGGGGGGAATAAAATAAATAAAGGCTCGCTGCTTTTCTTGGGCAGAGCTTGCCTTCCTGGGCTGCTGCCAGGCTGCCTGCAGGGTTTCTTTCAGAGCTGTGGTGCTGCACGGAGCCCGGTGCTTCACTCTGCAGCTGGAGGGGCAGCAAACTAAAACTCTTCAAAAGAGTTTTAGTTTGCTGTGCCCCAAGTAATTTAAGGCACATTACACTGCTGAATTTCCTACAGCAGCTGGAAGTAATGCGCAATACGCTGCTGAGGCTTACAAATACCGAACCATTAAAGCGGTGCAAAAGCATTTGGCCTGCTTTAAAAAGTGTTGTGCGCACACGTCTCTAGTTTTGTCTACACACGGCCTAAGTCTCCAAGTTAGGAAGGTATCTTTAGCCTTTGTGCTGCTCTTTGCTCTGAACAAAGCTAGAATTGAAACAGACACACACCTATTCGTCTTTTTACAAAACAAGGAAGTTAAAGAGGAAAAAAAAATTCCCACAGTAGACATTTCCTGGCACCAGCGAGGAGATTTCTCGTAGCTAAGTGCTAAAGGTTCCTTGTAATTTAACAACAACCATATTTTATGTCTTTTACAGCCATACAACACCCTCTCAGCCTTTCTACCAAGCCTTCTAGCAACTGAACTTTTCTTACAACTCAGACTAATAGTTTGAGAATTAAAATACTACCTTACAATAACTATATTTTTCCCCATGTTGTGCATGCGTGCAGACATGCACATATTCCACCGTCACACACCCTTGAATTGGAAACTTGGTTAGCTATATTTGTTGAGTGTGTACACAGCTCCATGTTATTCATACATCCAACTGAGGATGTAAAGAAGAGGCAGTTGGGATATGCGTCTCATCTCCTTTATTACCAGTATCTTGAGGGTCTTTAAAGTAGAAGGAACTGAGGAAAGATTGTGAAATATATGGAGAGCACATCCTAATACTACCATTTCACTAAGTAACTTCCTTGGAGTGTGTATGCACATGTTTTCGGGGCAATTTTTCAGCAGAGTAATGGCTTCTAAACAGACTGAAAATACTTTGTCAATCCTTGTGTTATCCTTGGATATTTCCTCAACTGCTTAAAACTGTGTAAATGTACTGAGAGAAAACCATATCATTGTCCTATACGTGTTGACAACAGAAACATTCCTCAAGGAGGCTAAAGATAACTCTTTTAGAATAATTTATGGTGCTGAGTATTGTTGCTTGACTGATCAAACACGCACTGAAATCCAATTAGGAGTTTCTCCAAGCCAAAATAAACTGTTGCATGCATACATACAAAGAATGAAAGGGCACTTGTAGAAACTTCTGAACTATGCAGGTCTCTTGACCCTTGACAGAATTTGGCGCCTCACCCTTGTAAGTATGCAGTTTATGAAAAAATACCAGCTGATAGATAATCTGATTTAAGGAGGCAGAAACCTTTGAACGAACTGGATGTGGTTTCAGTAAGACCTTGTCCTTACAGAAGACAGCAGATAGAGTGAGACTTGACATCACACAGCTCCCCCCAAGCTCCTTGACAAAGATTCTACCATACCGCTCAGCTGCTAAATGGAACAGGAAACAAAGGAATTTTATTTTTGGTGGGCAGCTGGGGAGAACACAGAAGGGAGCAGGATACCAGAAATGGTTAAATTAAGGTCCCGTGGATGGAAAGACTTCATTACAGGAGGATAAATCCTGAACAGAAATTAAGCATCTTGCTACAATAGTGTGAGGGAAAAATTAAAATTTAGGATTGTGTTCATGATGGGTGTGTAATTTCATTGATCTGACTGACACATTATTCCAATAGGAATGCCAGCATGTCAGACTTGTGAGCTGGAAGAAAATAACTGAGAGCAATGATATTATATACATAATCTTTTCCACTTAGATAGCTAAAAATTTCAAACAGTCTGTCTATGAATGAGAATTTACTGAACTTTTAACCAACAACTTCCTTAAAGACAGCTTAATTTAGAATTGAGGGCTGGCACCATGAGCGGGTACAAGACCTAAACATGACTGAAAAGTTGTGCCTGGGGCCAATGGTAAGACTATGGGATGTTGAAATTGACAAGATATGAAAATGTAGGTACTAAAACTATCTTGACTCTTGTCTACACCAGGGCTATCAACTTCTGCTTCATTACCTCCAGATAAGATTCTTCAGTCTTGTAGATGAAAGCTATGTACAAGTTCCAACACCTAGGGACCAGAAATACATCTCAAATAAAATCTAAGCTATCTGAAGCAATAACAGTTTCCTTCATATCAAGGATACCTTGCTTCTTGCAAATCACCTGAAAGCTAAAAGACTGAAGAGATTCATGTGTGGGTCATAGGATCCTAGGAAAGTAGGGTTTTAAAGGGACCTCATGGGCTCATATAATCCAGGCCTGAATAAACCATTCCAGCCAAGTGTCTGCCTAACCTATATAGAAAATATTAGAGGGATGGAGATTCCACAAGATCTCTAGGTAGCCTGTTCCAATGCTTGACTACCTCACAGTCCGAAAGTTCCTCCTAATCTCCACCCTAATTTTCCTGGCAGCAGTTTGAGGACATTGTTCCTAGATGATTCTGTGGCCACAGGGGACAGGATTATCACCCTTGTCTCTGTAAATGTCCTTCAGGTATTTGACGATTTATCAAATCCCCCTCATTCTCTTCTCCAGACTAAGTCTTTCTCCTGGGCAAGCAAATGTCTGTACAGTTTCCCTTGTGGGAGAAGCTGAAGCATAGTCCTCCAGCATCTCAGGATGTTTGGTGCCCCCCACCACCCAAGAGACAGTGTGTTGCTTGGACTGGACTCTACTGCTCCAGTCAAGCAGGGAGCAGAACACATCCACTTCACAATCCCTTCACATTGTGCTGCAGAAGAGGCAGGCTGACACTAAACAGTCTGGGTCAGCAAATCAGGGCTGCCCTATGCCTTACTCTACCTGGCTTCAGACTGACTGAGGGCACTTGCAGAGAACACAGATATATGCACAAGAGCCCCTTGGCTGTTCAGTGTCAGCACTGTAAGCTCTCTGCTCTTCCAGGGCTCAGCATTTGAATATCCGTACAGGAGTCTAAGTTCTTCTACCAGGAAACAGACCTGGGAGAATTCCCCCAGATCATCTGAACATGTGTACACAGCCTGAGTCTCCCATTAGGATCTATGTACGACCAGTGCATTAACATTGGAACACATCTGTGAACAAGCACCTGGACTGCTAAATTCTTGAAAACAATCGACTGGGAGTCAACTCAGTTAAAAAGGTGAAGCCTACTGTTGAAAGAAATAGAGTAAATTCTTACAAATGCTTATAAATCCTAAGTATATATATAAGATCACGGAAGATGAGACAATAGACAAGACTCAGAAGTTTAAAGGATCCATACAGTTATAAGAAAGAAGAGTTACTTAACATAGCCTATATAGAAATTAAGCATACTTGAGTTAACATTTTAGTTCTATTGTATGCTGCTCTGTTTATTCCTCTCCTAAATGCTGCTTCTTAGGAGTTTCAAATAATATACTGATTATAAGACTGAGTTTGTTGGATTTTAATAAATGAAATACTATTATTATTGAACAGTAATGAGAACTTACCAGAGACTTGGGAAGTTTAATATTTTTCTTCTTTAGCTGGTTGTAAACATGGTATGATGCCAAAATTAGTCCAAAAGCAAGGACAGTGGCAGCCCCAATTACAATATTTGCTAATTTTGAAAGTAAGAACAAAGTTTGTTGTTAATCAACACATTTCTGTAACATCTAGATAATATTAAAATAGAAATGACTCTCAACCTTTATAGCAAATAAATCTACATACAAGCTCTTCCTGCTTTAGTTTAGTTTCATGGTAACTTGTCCATGTGCCCTTCTTCCTGCTGCAAATACAACTAAAATACTTCCGTTTCACTGGAGGGACCCAGAGAACAAATAATCATAATTCCTAACAACCTATTTCCTCTGTACTCTCTTTTATAATCTAAAAATCCTAAAGCACCTGTTCTTGTTTCTCTCCTTGAGACACTGATTTGTTTACATCTTCATATAAGTGTGATATTAAAACTGGACACAGCATGCCAGCTGAGGCTTCACCAACATAAAGCAGAGAGCAAGAATTACACCGCACATCTATGTAATATTACATATATTAACAAATATTAACAAAAATCCTTACCTTTCATAATTCGAGGCATCATGCCTACAACACCACTCTAACAGCAGCAACTCCCCCCC